GGCCCGAGGACGGAGCGGTCGGGAGCCGGCTCCCTTGGGGGCGGGGGGTCTGAGCCGTGGGTCGCCTGGGTCCCCAGAAGTTGGCCACCAGGGCTCAGGCCGTTGCCACCTGAAACCAGTTCTGTGCCTTTTGTTTTGATTTGGAACTTGTTTTGTCGGGGAGGAGGGAGCCCGTCGTCCTGGGGAGCACGGGGTGGTGCGAGGTGGGGTGAGGGTCCCGGCTGGTTGGGTTTGGCCTGGGGGTGCCCTTTGTGAACCCCTTTTTTAGAAAGAGGGAAGGGGGCGAAGAAGTGAGTCACACCTCCCCCCCTAAAGGCCAGAGATCCCTCTGTGGCTTGCAGAATCCCTGCTTCTGCAGCCTAAGGGAAGGTGTGTGTGCTGGTGGTCCAGGGGCTGGGTGGATTCATCCCTGAACAGCATGGATGGTGAGGATCCCCCATGTGCTTCTGTGGCCAAGTTCCTCTAGAGGCATTTGGCCACTTGAGTCATTTGGCCAATTGTCTTTTGCTTTGGTGACACATTCTGCCTGAGGCTTGGTAGATCCTAGCTTGTGCTTGCAGGCTGCCTCCATCCTGACTTGTTAGAGAAGTGGACCCTGGCCTCCCATCCAAAGTGATTCTAGAAGTCTGACTTACTCTTCAGAGGTACCTGTGCCCTAAGCATCTTTATGATGATGATTATTTTTTTTTAGTTTACTGTTAAAAAAAAAAAAAAAGCTAAACCATTCCAGGTCTTGAAAAAACAGTAGGCTACTTTAAAAAAAAAAAAAGTTGGATTTGTACAGACTTTAATAGGTACATTCTCTTAAATTTTTGGAAGTGATTGCTCAAGCCAAACCCTTATCTTTTTGAAGGACCTGTGAATAGTAATTATCCCAAAGCCTGAAGGAAAGAATCTTGTGAAAAATGTTAATGACATAAAATTCCTCCAGGAGGTGGGTACATTTTTTTTTTTCCTCCATTTGTATAGATCAGAAGATTGAGACTCAAATTGTGAGTAGGTGGTAGTTTTACTAGTGTCACGTAACAAACAATGCTTATAGGTGGGATTTGAACTCAACAGTACCTGGTCCTGCACCAACAGAGTTGGCTTGTATTTTTTTTTTTTGAAATTACACACCCACTCTCTGGCTAGTATAGAAAGATTAAAAAGCTGCTTCTGGTCTGTGGGCGGTAACCTTTTAATTTTCTAAAGAGTTTTCAACTGCTTACAGAATAGATGCTGATCAGCAGCATAGGAAAAATTTAGATATCAGAAATTCATTAGCAAGTGTGATCTGGATCTTCTATAATTATGAGCATTTATTAAGATGTGGCATGGTGTTGATGCTCTGTACTATGTTTAGAAGATGTGATTTCTTAAGTATTTGCATCTTAAGATAAACAGGAGCCCAGTCAGCTGACAGTGGTTTGGCACCTTACTCTAATTCAGAGGACCTTTCATGAGCAACTTTGTAGTCTACAATTTCCTGAAGAATCCCCCTGTCCTGGACTAGCTGGTGACTAACATTATTACTTTATTTCTCTCTCTACTAGAATATTTCCCATTTTCTTTAAGAGTTTGTTCACAGCCTAAAACCTATGATGATTGAAGACTTCATATAATATGTGGTGACACATTATACCTTAGGCTTGGTAGAAGTTTAAACTTTTCAGGTCCATAAGCCATTTATTAATTTTTTTCATCAAATATTTATTGAATCCTTACTTTGTTCCAGAATTTTTTTCTAAGAATTGAGCTTCAGGATGGGAACAAAACAGACAAGGGTCTCTGCCCTCACTGTGCTTTATTCTATGTCTCTGAGAGAATGAGGAATAGAAAAGCAAATAGAGAAGACCACCTCAGATAATAATATACCCAGCAACCAGTACTTTTGTAAAGTCAAAAAAGTCAATATTTTAGGCTTGGTGGACCATACAACTTCTGTTGCAGCTATTCAACTTTGAGTGCAGAGGCAGCCTAGACAGTAGAAAAATTAGCATGCCTATTTTCCAATTAAATTTGGACAACAAAATTTGAATTTCATGTAATTTTCACACCATGAAATATTCATTTAAACAA